CAAGTTCTATTAAAAATAAGTCATAGTAAATTGTCGCTAAAAATAGTATTTTGTAACGATTTTTTACACGTCACTAAAAATTAACAATTAGTGACTTTTTTTGGCCACTTTTTTTTATAAATTGTCATTAAACTTACTATTAGTGACGTTTTTCTATAATGAATTTTTTAAACCGTCGCTAAAAGTTAAAAATTAGTGAATTTTTTTTACTATTTTTTTAAATTGTCTCTAAATTTATAATTAGTGACATTTTTTGTGACAAAAATTTTAAACTGTCATTGAAAATTAATAATTAGTAACGTCTTTTAATAGTGTTTGATAAAAAACGTCATTAATTACCATAAAACATATTGAATAATAAGATCAACTATTAAAATCTATACATAAGTTGTTTATTTTTACGTGGTTATATATATTTGTGTGTTGAATATTGGTCGGTAAGGCCTTGCGGATACGCTTCAACCACGTGAAGAGCCAAGATGACGGATAAGACTTTGCGTGGGTATAATCTCAATTTCCTATTCTGACTTCACCTTCCTTCACTTGAGTTTCAATCTTCATTTTTCTTGTACAACACTACAATAATAAAACACAAGGGAATATATATACTAGTTTATTAGGGTTGAAATTGGTATCTAAATATTTGTTGATTTCTCTTTATGCAACGTAAGTTATATAGAAAAGTATACAAGATTCGAAATTTTGATCTTAAATTTGTTTGCTTCTGTTTATACCATGTTAGATATAAAAAGAACTGCCCAATACTTAAAACTTTGACGTTAAATTTAGCAAAAAGAAAGAAAGCTATTATCACTTAAAAAAGATGGAGGAGTGCGACTTGATCCTTGAACTTAAGTTTTAAAAGAAGACTCTTACCACTTAAGTGTCACATAGGAAAATGAGTGGGAGCACTAATTAGTGCTACCACTAATGATGTGGCAGTGGGTGGGACCCACTGCCACAATGTTTTTGTGCCTTGTTTTTTTTTTTTTTTTTTTAAATGTGGGTGCCAACTCGTTAGTGGTGCTTTAGAGCACCACTTTTAGTGAGATGTAGCATTGCTGGTGTCACATAATATATAATGGGGGTGTTTGGTATGACTTTTTTTAGCCAACTTATAGATTTTAATTTTGGAAAAGTTATTTTGTCACATAATATATAATGGGGGTGTTTGGTATGACTTTTTTAGCCAACTTATAGATTTTAATTTTGGAAAAGTTATTTTGAACTGTTTGATTAAACTTATTTCAAATAATTTCTAATTCTAGTAACTTATTTTAATCAAAAAAAAGTTGATTCTGAAAAGTTACTCACCCACTGCTTCTAATTATCAGTTTCTACTGTGGACATGTTAAACCCTTAGAATTTTTTTTTTTTCCCTCTTGAAAATAGAAAAAAGATCCAAATGGATAGTGGATTAATTTTTTTTAATTTTATGATGTGAACTAGTAGTGAATAACAAAAATAAAAGTTAATTCGATTTACAATTAATAAAGGTTAATTTAATTTACAATTAACAAGGGTAAAAATGACATTTACACAACAAAAAGGTATTTTACAATTTATTTACTAAACACTACTTAGTAACTTAAATCAATAATTCAACAACTGTACCAAATAGATTAAAAATTTCTAATTAAAATTATAATCTATAATCTATTTTAACATCTGCACCAAACATCTCTAATAAATGTTTTATTTTATTTTTACTTATTTGAATTGTACACGCATCATATGTACCAACCGCTAGTATGTATTATTGATACTTCATTCCTTCAATGATTTAAACTATATTGATTAGAATGAAATAGAATGATCATTCTTTACTCTCTTATGGAATGATCATTCTTTTATAATGCCTAATAATGATTTAATTTGTAATTTATTTTTTATTATTTCTTTTAGTCAACCAAACATGAGAATGAAATTTTGATAGAATAACTACTTTTAACACCATTTTAGTGAACCAAACCGTACCTACGACCAGTGGCGGAGAGAAATGAGGATCAGGGGGTCACGTGCCTCGTTTGGATTTTGTTGTTTTGTTTTTTTTTTTGCAAATATAAAGAAAATATTTTAAATAAAAAAATTACAAAAATATTATTAGAGTGAAATGCCAATGACATTTTAAAAATTATGAGAACAATAATGATTATTTTGATTGAAAATGAAGAGACTATTATAAACCATATTATCTATGAAAATTTTATGAAAATTTTTGGATGCAACGGTGATGTCATTATTATTGACATACAAGTATAAGTAATCTCACTATAAAAATATGAAATTTATTAGATTGTTAGTTACATTTGACATGTGATGTTCATTCTCTATGTGTTTATTTACTATTAGTTGGTAATATCACATATTAATAATGACGTGGTATTATCATTATATTGAATTTTTAATCAAATTTTGCATAAAAATATAATTTATCATTATATAATTTATTTTAAGATTTATATCTATATTTTTTTATATTGTCCATGATACACTAGTTATAAATAACATTATTTTTTTGATGTTTTTCGAAATCAATAGTAAAAACTTGCGTGAAATATTTTTGTAAAAATTTTCGATATTGTAATTAATAAAGGCCTCCTCTTATTTAATTTTCTGGTTCCGTAAATCAATTGTAAAAACTTGCGTGAAATATTTTTGTAAAAATTTTCGATATTGTAATTAATAAATGCCTCCTCTAATTTAATTTTCTGGTTCCGCCACTACCTACGACGGGCATTTGGTTCAAAATGAAGAATATATATTTTTATTCCCTCTCTTTCCTTGCCAATTCAAGTGCTTAAAATTTTTTTTATCAAATAATAATGAAGCACCTATGTTTTTATATGGGAGTTAAAAAATATCGGATACCTTTCAGATCGTTTAGGTCACTAATTTGAATTATTATGAAATTGAATTTGTAATAATGCTTGTATAGTATTAAAGTATATCTGTTAGGATAAATACAATAACATTTTTCAATATATATATTTTTTTATTTCTTATAAAAGAAGAAAATAGTTAGATTAGACTAGTAATCTACTTTTTCAAAATTTATGAAATCAGTATATCGTTAATGTGTCATACATGTTCCCAAAAAATTAAAAAAAAATAAAAATTATGTCGTACATGTGGCCTATATTCATATCTTTACAAATATCTATATTCATACTTTGTATAAAGTAATTTGAATTAAAAAAAGAAAAAAGAAAAAGAAGATAATACTAAAATTAGATTTCAATAATTAAATAGTTAAATAAGCAAGTAAGTTGCATACACTATGTTAAATATTTTTACACATAAAACACACACACACTAGGATAATATAAAGAATTTAGACAATATTAAGCTGAAATTTCTATATGATGCATTGTAAAATAAACAAATTAACTTACCACTAACTCTATTACTAATACTTAATTTCTAAAATTAATTACTCACCATTCTTTTTTATTTATTTTTTTTAAGATTGGAATTACTCACCATGCTTTTAACTTTATGTATAATACAATACTTAAAATTATTCTTAGTCCTTTTGTATTTATTTTTGTCTCTTTGCATTTACTTTTAAGTAGATTTTTCAAAAAATTTATGACTAGGCTTGCCTAAAGAGTTAGAAAAATTAGCAATTTTTAAGACGAAAAGTCTTACAAAGTTAGATATGAAGTTAGATATGCAATAAGTTATATTTTGTTTGTATTCCCCTCTTGTAAGTCTATATATTGGCCTTTATGCCAACATATTAATGGAGCATGTAAATTCCCTTCAACTTCTCTCCATCTTTTTGCTTTCTTCTTTGTCTCTAAGTTCTCTATCATAATTCCTTATTCTATAACTCCACCATCACATATCTTCTTCTTCTTCTTCTTCTTCTTCTTTTTAATTTTTGTTTGCGGTATCATTGTATATCGTACCATACTGTATCTTTATCCATACTTCATAATTGAACCTCAACACAACGGCTTTGTTTGGTTTCAATTTCTGAATCAATATTCAGAATTTTTTTCTGAAAAAATAGTTATGACAAAAAAACAAATACCAAAAAGGGATTTTTGAATTTCTAAAATTTAATTTTTCCCTGAAAACATGTAAAGCTATAAAAATGATAAGTGTTTTTTTATTTATTTATTTTTTCCACTAAATTAGTGTTTAGATTTTTTATTTAAAAAAAAAAAAAAAAAACAGATAAAACAGATAGTGAAACAAATTGTTTGATTATGTAGAATGGATACAGACACCATATGATATGGATACAACGAAACAGAGGAATTGTAATTTTGTTTTATTTTGCATTATAAATTATAATCCAAGAAATTGAAAAGAAAGAAAAACAAAAGTCGACGGATGGAACCTAGATGAACTTTTTTGTGATCCAACCACCAAAATTAAATGGCATCTGATTTTGTTCATATGCATGCAGGACAACAGATCTGATCTGTAAACCAACCAATTAAGTAAATCAAGACCTCATAAAAAATTAAAATTAAATGAAGACCATGTTCTAATCAAATTAATTATGATGGTCCAACAAGTACAATGACTACCTTAGACGGCATGGTTCTCTATCCAGCTTCTTCTATCTAAAACTACAGTTAAGTTAGTTTCTAGAAACTTTTACTTTAAATTACACAAATAAATAAATAAATAAATAAATAATTTATTTCTATTTAATTTCCCTTTTAACTGACTTAGCTTTAATATTTAAAAAAACAAAAATAAAATTCACTTATAAAACAGTTACAACTACCCCTTTTTTTTGGTTTTCATATAATTTTATCTTCTTCAATATTTTTTTAAAATTAATTTAATGCATAAGCTGTAAGTGTAGGATGATAAACAATAAAGGGTTAACCAACTTCACACTTCTGCATTTTTGCATAAAAATAAAGAGAACATGCAGCCATGTGCTATTGTTAATGACCAAGAAAAACACAGCTGACTGCTGCAAGGACTAACAATACACAAGTGAATTGTAACATGTATGTATGTATGTATGTATGTATCCAACACAATAATAATCTTCACAAATCAGTTTTTCAGAAATTCAGATCACTAGAATGCCTGCCTACACATCATATTACAAAAAATGCTTCCTGAATATGTTTCCAAAGACATATTCTTCTATATGTACAATAGTATTTTACATTTTCAACATTGAAGGTAGCACCACCATCGCACTGTTAATCTATCGGATAAGGATATCAAAGAAGACAACTAAACAACCTCATACAGATCTACAAGGATGCATTGCAAGGACTAATATTACATGGATAAAGCCTCTTCCAAGACTTTGATAAAAAAAAACAATCATGAATCCAAAAAAAAAAAAAAAAAAAAAAAAAACCTACTACTATGACATAGTTGTCATTTCAGCTGAACTGGTAGAAGCTTCGCTCGCAACTGGACATGCACCGCCTCCTTGTATCTCTTCTTCATCACTAAACAAACTTTCCTCACTAGAAGTAGAAAATGAGACATCATCATCATCATCACTAAGCAAATTTGCTTTGCGCCGCCTCCTAACATCTTTAATGCCCCTCCCTTGCAAAGCCAGTCGCCTTCGTTTTCGTGCTTTCCTCTTGCCCTTTGGGAACTCTTCTCGATGCGACTCAAAACTTTTACTGTCTACCTCCTTCGATGTCATGTCCTTGCCATACACGTTATCCTCTGATTCAAAACTCGGCGCCTCAGGATCTAGCTTACGCCTCTTTTTACTTGCATTGGTCTGGTACAAAATCATTCAAGTTTAGTTGGAAGCCGTAAGGCACACAATCAGATCCAACGAAAATTTTGAAAACGCATTTCTATCATTTCCCAAACCAGCAACAGTGGTAGAACAAGTTCCCAATTAAATTCCACTTACAGAAAAAATTAACAAGCTATGATCTATATGATCATCAGCTCCTGGTGGACTTTTTTATAGCTTCTGTTTCCTGGTTGTTTCACATTATGTAGGTTGTAATGCTTTTACATTTTCCTGTAACTTCTATTTATTTTTCACAGATGATGACTCAAGGAAACATGTTTATAATTTGTCAATTGATTCACATAAAATAGTGGATATAAGGCCTGTTTGATTGAGCGGATTATAATATAAGATTAGGATTATTAATCCATGGAACTCACATTCTAGTATTTGGTTACAATTTTTGTCATCTAGATTAGATTCCAATGGACATTCTATCCAACAAAATTGGCGGATTTTTTAATCCTACAACTAATAATTCAAAACAAACATATAATTGGAATTATATATTCCATATCTATTGCAAAACAAACGTGGACAAGAGGGAATTATTTATCTCAATAATCCAGCTGGATAACCAATTCTACACTAATCTCATAGATTGTTAATCCCCTCCCTATTAGTCCTGCTAATCAATCAGAAAGGAATTACGTCACCATGAACAAACTAAAGACAGCATTATGTGCGCAGGAGTAGATTTCTAATGAATGCAACACAAATTCAATGATTGTTTAAAGAATAATGTGATATCATTGAACAAAATTCGAAATAGACCACATGCCTATAGTCTAGTCATAGCAAAAAATGTAGGTTTCAACACCCTATTTCTGTAGCATGCCTCAACTATGCACTCAAGGCCGGCCCTGGGCTAAGGCTAGTAAGGCCTATGCCTAGGGCTCCAAAAATTAGGCCCAAAAAAAGGCTTCCAAATTCATTAGTGTTGTACTATATTAAAAACTCAAAATGACCCAATTCTGTTCATTAATTTAGGCTAGTTTAAAGGGCCTCAAAAATTTTGTTTGACCAAATTGACAAAAGGCCCAAATAAAAAATATTTATAAATGTTAGTTGCTAGCCCAATTGAAAAAATAAAATATAAAATATATGTATATGTATTAGTTGTTAACACAATTCTATTTGGCCTATTTGTTTTTCCAACTCTCTTTATGGCCCAATTATGTGTTTTTAGTGAATATTTTTAGTACTTTACGCAAAACAATTTTATTTTATTTTGTACATACACCTAATCTAGATATACCTAAAAAGTATAATATTTGTGAATTTTTTTATAAAAAAATTACCAAATACAAAAAATATAAAAAAATATGAATTGCAAACTCAGAAAATTATTTTTGAAACCAAACAGGTTTTTTATTTTTTTTTATTTTTATGAATATCTAAAAGGCACCCAGAAAACTATTTAGCCTTGGGCCCCGGGAAATTCAGGGCCGGCCCTGTATAATGCACTCAATAACAAAATCATTCCTGTTGATTCTGGAAGCATACCTTCGGACCGCGATCTACCAACTGAGCCCATTCATATCGGTTCCTCAGGCAATCAAGAACAGCCTGTGAGTGACTTGAATATGCATAGCGCTCTCCATTATGCTTCCTCAAGTTAGGCCAGTGCTGCAAAACAGAAGCACAAAAAGATGAGATGAATGATAGTATCCTGTCTCTCACTTGCTAATTAAAAGAGTGCGAACAGAAAGTAGCAAGCATTCTGTCAAATGGAAGCAACCATACCGGCAGCACTGCATTACAGAGTTCTTCATACGTCATGCGTTTTCCTTTGCTCATAATCTCAGCAATCAACCCTATGGCAATTGCAGATACACCAGTAAGAAAAATCTCAAATAATAGAAAAAACTCATTTGGGACAAATTTCAAGAATAACTTGCATTTCTTTTAACTTCTTGGGAAGGCAACAACCTGGTAAAGTGCGATGTGTAGGGCCCCCAATGGTGCCAGTATCATCCTCAGAGGCATTTTGAGGTGAGTTACGCATGGATGACAAATTTTGTTCATTAGCCTCAGTGGAGGAAGATGGACCACTGCTCAGAGTCGCAGTGGAGCCTGGAGCACTCTTCTTGACAGCATGTAATCCTTTCCCAGATCCACTGTCTGATTCCTTCTTAGTGTCTGCTGGGCATGCGGAATCATGTCTCCTCTGATCAGGTGAAGGCGGCAATCTGTCCATCTTAGCTTCATCATCAATCTCACGAGAACTGCGAGACCCATCTTTAGCTATATCCTTGCTTTTTCTTCTAGCAACCTATAAAATGTATTATAGGACTAATCACACAAACCTGATAGAATAAACTATCTATGTTGCAGAACGCAGTAACTACAGGAAATAGTGACAGTTCAAGTATTCTGTCCATGAATAAATCAGGGAAGCTTACCAAACTCTGATCTCTTCCTCCAGAACTAGACGTCCGCTTGATCAGCATGCTTGTAGCAGTTGGGGAAGCCAACTGAGGTAAGCTACCAGTGTGGCGCATGCGTGGTACTCGAGGAACTCTAGGAGAACTGTTGAGTTCTTGATGCAAGAGTAAAGCAAGCTGCAAAAAAGGGGGTGAGGAGGGAGGATTGTTGAGAAAGGTGAGCTTGCGAACAACAATAGTGTAATAAAATGAATTGACAGTCCTTCTCCCACCTCTTCATCACTAAGTGTTGCCGGAGAGTTTGAAGATGCAGGAGGTTGCATTTGCACTGTGTGGTTCACCTTAGTTGATGGCTGGGTATTTGACTGGGTAACCTTTTCACTTCTCTGCTGTAGGCCTGAAGCTGAAATCTTATTTTGAACATGTGATGCACTTTGAGTTTGCAATGAACTGACAGGATCACCAGAGCCTGAAGTATGTCCAATATTCTGTGCTGAAGATGTTTTAAAAGATGAATACAGCACCCGATCCTTGGAATCTGACACAGTTTTCTTGGAATCAGAAGCATGTGAAATCCTGCTTGAATGTGACGCTTTCAACACAGAACTGACAGAGGGTTTTGAACGTTCTTTCAATATTTTCCTAGGCACTTCATGCCTGTCTTCACCCCTGACCACATCAGTTGATCCACTCTTACCAATACTGCAGTCAGGTATTCCCCGTTTTGTAACATGATTATGATTCTGGGCATTTGTAGGCTTACGATTATCAGAAACAGGTGGTTTTGAGATCACAATGGTCGATGAAGTTGATGATTTCCCAACAGATGCTGCCATTTTACGCTGGCTGAGTGGTGCTGGGGGGCTTACAATTGCACTGCTTAATTTTGATGGCTCCTCGGAAGCTCTTGAGTCATGTTCAAGTTCTGAAGAACTTTTCCCCACTGCAATGGAACCTTCCAACTCCTCCAATTGTTGCTTGGGTTGACAGGGATCACAAGAAAATTGACCAGCTGTATCTGTTTGACAATTCCTCACTGCTGCTACGCTTCTGTCAACATCTTGCACCTTTAGGTCACTGGACTGCAAACTGGTTACAGCTGTATCATTTATTTCAACATTAGCAGACAAGTGATCAGCAGAAGTCCCTGAGTGTTGAACCAACGGTTTCAAGTCCTCCAACTTTACATCACTAAGAGTGGAAGATTCAACATTGAATGCCTCTTGCAAATGATCAAAATGTGCTTCTGTATTTACTTTAGCACCAGGCTCTAAAGAGCTCTGGCGCATATCACCACTTGGATCTTGACAACTCTGATCATCTTTTACTTCCACAACAGCAGTACTGATATGTTCCACGAAGGGCTCTAATTTTTGAAGGCCCATGCCAGCATTTACAAAAGAACCTCCTCCGCTATCATTCGCATTATCATGACCTACGGCAACCTCCTAATGTAGCAACAAGAAAATGTCATTCTAGCGGCAAAACAGTCTAGAAAACATAGCCGATCTACTTCATCAAGTAAAAGTGGGCAACAATGTGAACTAGATGCTTAATATTTCTCAAACACTGTTGCAAATGTAGATGCTCTTCAAAAACAGTTCCCAACAAGCACATAGTAAATACTACCACAAGTCAATGACCAAATAACAATCATGCAACACACTGAGGATGGCAACCCCAACATAAATACCTCATCCAGATAGCAAAATAAAAAAGTCAGCAGGAGCAACAAGAGGGGAACAAAAGCATTGCAATTACAGCCACTGTTAATTTTTATGAGTACATTTTAGTAATTTTGCTTAAACCAATCAGTGCCCAAGTCAGCATATATTTGGTTTTCACCCAAGTCATGTTGACTCGGGTGGGTGTCTAAGCATTGGACCTCATTGAACCCCAAAACTACGGATACAATGTGGAAGGCGACCTTCACACTTAAATAGGTTGTGACTTATAACATAGGACAGTGTTGTTAATAAGGGATATACTTGAAATTAAATGAGACTGAGAGGGAAATGGGAATTTTTCCACTACCCACGAGAAGCAAAGGGCCAATGCTTGGTGCAAAGGTAAAATGCTCAGACTACTGCGTATGAGAACCTAGGTTCAAGAGTATCCATGTTGTGCATATTATGCCAAAGATTAATTTTGTACTCTGTTTACCCCTCCCAACACCCTCACTTGACGAGGACCAAAACTGAGAAATGGCCTTTTTGAATCCATGTAAGAAGTAAGAAAGCATTCATTTCCAGCAAATATGAGCTGTTGCTGCTTCTTGCATCATCAAACATAGCAGGATTTGAGTGCAACAGTTGGGAATGGGGGTCCAACACATATCACATTCAGTTAATCTAGCCATATAACACAAGCACCATGAGTGGAATAGAAGAGTCCATGTAAACACTGGCTATGATTTTCTTTTCCTTTTCTTGATAAGTACTGGTTATGAATTCTATAACTGCCTATTTTTTTATTTTTTTTTTGGATCAACAAGCCTATTATTCACTGAAACTAAATAAGGCTTTTTATGTAGGAATTGAGCCTTATCAACTATCATGCTGGATTTGATCATGATGCAGCAAAGGCTTAATTTTTTTGAATGGCTCAACTTTTTGAATAATTGTATCAAGTGAAAGTTGATATCACTTTAGTGTACCTTTGCGGTACTAATTTTAACGTGATATCATATTGGTATGTGAACGTGTCTATATTTAATCCAGCGATTTTTAGTTAGCCTATTTAAAGTTGTCAAATTGGGATCCACATCACAATATATATATATATATATATATTTCTTTATTGTTAAATAATGAATCTAACAATATCGTAAGGCGTATGATGTAGATCACGGAGAGAAAAAGAAATGGACCAAATCACCAATTTTGCTTTGGAGCTTGTTTTCAACCATAGTAGTCAAATCGAGAAGCATACATCAATCAGAATCCTAATTTGTGAATCGTCAATCAAATCAAATCAAGAATCTTTAAGATTCAAACTATAAAAAAATGTTTAACAATCATATATGTTAAAAAAAATAAAAGTAAATTTTTTTTTTGACACATTATACAATAGTTACACCATTTAATTGGCTACGCATTGTCTCCATAGTATATATGAGGGTCTACTCTCACCAATCATAAACAAAACTATTCAAAGATCATAACATTATCTCTTGAGTGACATGGAAACGATATACCTAGGGAACCCTATATAGATATGGAGTATAATAAAAGAAAGAATAAAGGAAAATCTTTATTTTAAAACCTGAAACACTTTAAAAGGGGTGCATGCTTATTGTTAAAAAAAAGTCACAAAAAAGCAATTGTGGAACCACTGGGCCTGATTGACCTAACCCAAGAATATTGAACTCTATTTATTTAACTAAAATAGCAATAGATAATTCATGGTTGCAAGTTACTTTAACATTAAACATCCTTAGAAAATGTATTATGATATTTTTCTAAGGCAAAAATATATATATATATATATATATATTGATGAGAAAAAGCTAAGAACATGTTGAGTTTGATTTGATCTGATTGTATCTTATTGACAACCCTCTGATCACGAAAATAACAACAAATGAAGCATAGGTGTTAGTTATTTTCTTATTGAACACTATTAGAAGTTGTATTAAGTCATTCTCAAAACAATAAATAAATAAAAGAAGAAGAGGCTGCAAAACGTGGTTAGAATTTCTCAGACCCCAATAATAGTATCATGAATTGTATGAATCCTAAAAAATGACTTGAATCGTGAATTATTTGTGAATCATGCTATTTAGCATAGATTATATCCCAAAATAGATTCATTCATAGATTCGCATCAATCTATACATGAGTTTCATATATCCTTTTGGTCTGTTTTCTATTTCTCAATAATAATTAACTACAAATTCTAGAGTTTAATATCAATGATACTAGTATACTGATCTCATGCACAATTATTATTAAAACAAACAAACCAAGAAACCAAACACTTACTATGGCAATATAGCTCTACTCTAGGGCTATGATTTTTCTCATACTGTATAGTGTTACATCGAAATTATTTTTATAGAATGTTTACTATAGCAACATGGTTAGATTTATTAGTTGCCAATGGCAACAGGCTGACCATGTCATCTATGAGTTTGAAGCATGGTTACATTTAGTATAACAAGGCATTCACAATGTAATCACATTTAGTATAACAAGGTGTATATAATGTAATTACATGTGTAGCCCACCCTTATTTACGAATGAAGGAAAATACTAATATCAGGGCAAGGCCATCGTTGCCAAGGGGAAGCGAATGAAACAATTTTACGGCAGCTCATTTTGTACTAGTTTGGATGAAATACTTAACAAACCACTCAAGTAAAACCACAAAAACATAAAATTTGCATACAGCATCGTAGTAACACATACCTCTTCTTTTATGGGAACACTTCCAAGATCATTGCATTCAAACAATGGCGCCATGCCATTTTCAGTTTTAGAACTCTCACTGCTTGCAGAAACTTGATGGCCAGCTTTCTCTTCCATTAGTCTTGCTCCGACTGAAATATTATGTCTAGACACATCTGAAACTAAGGCTACTGAAGGGTGCTCACTAGAAGCAAGGTTGTCCTTGGGCTTGTCAACATTGTGCTCCACAACAGGACAACTACCTGATAAAATATCTTTGGGCAAAGTGTCCTTCAAATCCACATTATTGATATAATGAGTATCCGTCTTGACACTCTTAGAACCTCTATCTTCATAAAATTCCAATTGCTTTGCATCACTTGAGAGTGGTGTAGAAGCTAGTAATATAAATAAAACAAAATTTGGGATCAATATGTGCATGAAATGTACACCACACTCCATGATTCATGTTTTCACTAATTAATAAGGTAAAAGAAGCTAATAGTAGTCTGACAACAATTTTACAAAATTTATGAAATCACCTGTTTTTGAAACCTGTGGAGCTCTCTTCTTAGCATCCCCCTCTTTATCAACAACCTTGACCTTCTTTTTTCCACTTAAATCTTTGGATGCCCCAGAGTGCTCTTTCTTGTGCTTACCGGAATGAATCACAAAGGGTCGCAGTAAGGCCTTATCTTTCTTCACACCATCCTCTGCATGTCTCACACCTATGTTCTCACCCTCCAACTTCTTCACATCTTTTGAAGGCGCCAGCCTGTCACCTCCACCTGTGTCAACTTCTCTTTTCATGCCAGTCAAACTTGGCACATGGGTATCCACAGCATTCTCCTTTGACAACAAGAACAGAACACCAGCACCTTTGTCAACAGGATTTTCTATTTCCTCTTCAATTTTAGCATTGGCTTCCGGCTTCTCATCCCAACAAGGAAACTCCGTGTACTGAAAATTGAACTTTTTGGGCACATGACCTGTACATTTCCACAGCTCCGGAGTGAAGATGGTTGACAAACCACCAAAAAGGGCAGGTTCACCACCAGAAATAGCAATAGATAATTCAGCCTTGAACATGTACTCTCTCCTCAATGGGTATGTCGGTCCAAAGCCTAAATGGACGCCGAGGAGGACCACTCAATGGGTACGGATTATCCATCCTCAATGTTTTAGTGGGTAGCTCAACCAACAACTGAGCAACCTCAGTTTCCTCGCTATCATTCCTGGTGTTCTTGCTCTTGCATTTGTCACAAGCAAATGATTTCTCACTCTTGACATAGCGTGAACACCGAGTGTGCACCCACACGCCACACTCATCACAGTTGACCATCTCCTCCCCGTCGTCAAAATTCACCCCACAGACACAATCCACAGTCCATGAACCATCGACCCAGTCATCAGGAGAGTCCGATATCGGAAGTCGGTGCGAACGGCTTTTCATAGCTTCGTGTTCTGTTCCCTAACTATAAAAAAAAAAAAAAAAAAAAAAAAAAAAAAAAAAAAAAAAAAAAAAAAAAACTGAGCATCCACAGTGGGCTGCCAAAGGAGCTGCCATTGCCAAATTTTGGCAAGAGTTGGCAAAAACAGGTCACCAGTGGCATGCTATGCGGCTGTTTATTATAGCTTTCAGGGGTGATTATAGATTATTTTAATTTAGGAGTACGTGCCGGTGCAACTTCTACTTAAGGCAGAAATAACTTAAATAAACTGAAAAAAAGCTGATTATTTGGAATATGGGATAGGGTGTTTTTAACTTCTGCTTCCTGGTTATCAGCTTTTAGCTTAAAAAAAGCTCCACCAAACAGGGCCTATATTGGCTACCAAATTATAGCAATGCCAAAGCACGTACCAAATTCAGCACAAGCTTTGGCAATGCCAGATCGTCATCCCCAACTACTTTCCTTCCTTCCCTTCTTCATCCTTTCCCAGCAAAAACTTCCCCAAACAGAAAATAATATTTTTCAACAAAATTCACCATAAAACAGAAAATAACAACAACAATAATCAAGCAATATCAAACAAATTTCAAGCAATCTCAATTAATCTCAAGCAATTAGAAGCAAATTATAATCCATTCTCCATCATCAGAAAGACGAATTCAGAAAAATATACCCGGATTTCAGACGATTTCAGCAATCTCAAGCTTTCGTCTTGTTCATCTTCTTCATCTGCTTGCTTCGTCTTAGGGTTTGTGTGTGGTTTAGGGGTTTCGGCTTCATTTGCTTCGTCTTAGGGTTTGTTTCTACTTCGTCTTCATTTTCGGAGTCGATTTCAAGGGTTTTGGGTTTCGCAGATGGATCGAAGATAGAGATCCAAAGGGTTTAGGGTTTAGAGACAGATAAAACACAGGGAAGAGAGAGGCAGGGACGATCTCTGCGCGCGAGAGGGACGATTGGGTGGGGATAGAGATGGAGAGAGAGAGAGAGAGAGAGAGAGAGGCGTAAGAGAGAGGAGAAGGATCTGAGGGGTAAAAATTGGCTACTCCATGTCACAATGATGACATGGTGTGACGAGGAATGCTAGGCATGGTGTAACTCGTCAATCAAAATTAATAGATTAGTTGGGATTAGGCTCGTGGTGTAACTCATCAATCAAAATAGGAGTTGTTTGGTAAACATTTTCGATTAAAAAATCATAAAAATAAATAAAAAAAAAGTCAAAAAATTACAAAAGAATAAAAAAAAAAAATTACATCATTTCAATGTCAAAAAAGTTAAAAAAGTCAAACAATAATACCAAACGACTAAGAAAGTCTCGGGCTAAAAAATTAAAAAAGTCAAAAACTCAACTAAAAAAGTTATTGCCAAACGAGCACTTAATAAATTAGTTGGGATGAGGGTGATATTGGCCCGTTTGTTTGAGTTAATATTTTTAATTTAATAAAAAATAAATAATAAAAAAAAGTCAAAAAAATACAAAAGAATAAAAAAAAAAAAATACATCATTTCAATGTCAAAAAAATTTAAAAAGTCAAATAAGAATACCAAACGACTAAGAAAGTCTCAGGCTAAAAAAATTAAAAAAGTCAAAAACCCAACTAAAAAAGTTATTGCCAAACGAACACTTAATAAATTAGTTGGGATGAGGGTGATATTGGCCCGTTTGTTTGAGTTAATATTTTTAATTTAATATATTAATAGACTGGATGTAAAATTTGTACTTTCAATCCAATTCAGTTGGCCTCGCTATTAGATTAATTAATTAATTATAATATATTAAAATATATATTTTTGTTAGAATTTAAATTTATTTTTATTAATTTTATTAAAACTCATATTTGTAATGATTTTTGATTGAATTTATTTAAGAAAATTTTCAATTTATATACAAAATCTTTCAATTTATAATTATATCAGTATATTTACTTAAGAAATATAATGTGTAATTGAATTTAATTATGAAATATTTTATTTTATTTTATTTTTACATATAACCCGCTAGGTGGATTTAGAATTTATAATTATTTTTTAAACTGAACTTGGGCGAAAGTAATAGAGGTCTGATGTTAGGACCAAGCTGGGTTTGGATAAACACAAAATTTCTTATTATGTAATGTCGACCTGACCTGACAAATGACCACCCCCAGTGGACATCCTTATCACCAAACTAACTCAGAACATCTTTATCAAAGTAGCTAAATATTTAGTCAAATTGTAGCTAATAACCTAATTTTCTATTTTAGCTAACCTTATTTTTCTTGTCATGCTCCAACAAACTCTCCATTTCTTTCTTCATTCAATTTAAATATTCCTTATTTATTATTTATTTATTTTTTCAGAAAAATTGTAATTTTCAAATAGACACTTAACGGCCATATTTTGTAAATAGAAACTTTTGTAACGGTCATATTTTCAGATGGATACTTTTGCAACGGCCATATTTTTGAAATAGAAACTTCTATAGCGGTCATATTTTCAAATGAATATTTTTGCAACAGTTATATTTTTGAAATAGATACTTTTCTAACGGTCATATTTTTTCAATATAAATAAGATCATTCCTCTTTAATTTTCATCCACCTCATCCAGTTTTCTTTAATATTAAGTCTTTATTTTCTCACTATGCGTTGCAATTCTGTACACAATATGATTCTCCATGAGTCTGACTCTGATGATGAGTTAGAGATAGTTACAGTAGTCAAAATGAAGGAAGAATCAAGATCATGTCGTGGTTCTAATACAACGTCGTGTGTTCATTAGGCGTAATACTTTACAAGGCCACCAAAGGCTCTTTCTTGATTATTTTGCTGAATCACCAATATATCTTCTGAATGTATTTTGAAGAAGGTTTCAGATGAACCGTTCTCTTTTTCTCTGTATTTATTCTACAATAAAAGCTCATGATCCGTATTTTGTTCAAAACAGAAATGGTGCTCAAGTGCTTGGTTTGTCCTCTTATCAAAAGATGAATGCTACACTTAGAATGCTCGCTTATGGAGTAGCGGCTGATTTTATAGATGAATATGTAAGGATTGGAGAAAGCATTGCAATGAAATGTTTTAAAAAAATTGTTAAAGCAGTGGTTACAATTTTTTCTGATAAGTTTTTGAGACCACCAAACGAAAATGACATTGCTAGATTGCTAACAATTGGCCAAAGTCGTGAATTCCTTGGGATGTTGGGGAGCATTGATTGTATGCATTGGAAATGGAAGAATTGTACAACATGCGTGGAAAGGTGTGTATTCTGGTCATATTCATGAACCTACAATTATTTTAGAAGCAGTAGCATAATCTTTGGATATGACATGAATTTTTTGGGTTACCAAGGTCTCATAATGACATCAACGTGCTAGAACGATCTTCTATATTTACCAAGCTTGCTGAAGGGTGTACTCCTTTTGTCAATTACTCAATCAATGGCAATGATTATACAATGAGATACCATCTAGCAGATGGTATATACCCGTAGTGGTCAACATTTGTCAAAATAATTCCATCTCCGCAAGAGAAAGCATTTTGCTGCAGCTCAAGAGTCAACAAGGAAAGATATAGAACGTGCTTTTGGAGTTCTCCAAGCACGATTTGCAATTGTAAGTGGACCTGCACGTTCTTGAGAACGAAAACACTTAAGAACATTATGAAGGCATGCATAATACTGCATAACATGATTGTTGAGGATAAACGAGATGTTAATGAAGCAGAAGACTACGACTATGAACAAATCGATGAAAATCTCATGTATCTGTTTCACATGAGCATACAACTGAACTTATGGAATTCATTCGACGCCATCATCGCATTAGAGATAGAGAAATTCATTCTCAACTACAATCGGACCTCGTCGAGCACTTGTGGCAACTACATAGTCAATCATAGCAATTTGTAATTCTAAATTTTGTGGTCACATGATGACAACTCATTAGTCGTCATTGTAATTTAAAATTTTCCAATCATTAAGGATACTTTAGAATTTTTACAGAAAGAGTTACATATAAAAGACACTATAAACTTCAATTGCAAATGTAAGATCTGATGCTGCTGCCCAGATGATTCATGTAAAAGTTTTAAAATGAGATTCTTAGTTTAGCAAGATTCAATAAAAATAATTATTTCAGAAAGGAAAATAAAATACATTTGCTATTCAGTCTCTCTCTCTCTCTCTCTCTCTCTCTCTTACCTTCTTATGCTCAAATTTCTATGCCAAATAAACATACTACAAACTCCAAAAAGTAGCAGTCAGGCTGTAATGCACCAAGGGAGAAAAAAATATAAAAAAAAAACTCAAAACACCATTGAGATAATACTGAACATTCGAACATATTTTCAGGCACTATATATCTAAACCATTAAAGTTAAGTTTTTGAAGTAAAAAGTTAAAAAGATTCAGAATTGTAAGTGAAGTTCATCAATTTTCCTACCTGGACGATCCATATGTCTTACATTTATTTATCAAAAACAAAAAGGTCTTTTGTTACTCATCAAAGAATGCAAATGTCACGCCTATTATCTTCTTCTAATGAAAACCAAAACCACTAATACAGTAGTAGTTGTCAATAAACAAACTGACTTCAACTTGTAGTAACTCATTAGCCAACACAAATTGACCACCCAGCAGCAGCCACATCCTACATCAGCTCTGTAGTAATAGTAACATCAAACTAACATTCACTCTATAGCAAGAACAAAGTACTAGACTCACCAAACCACACTCAACTCAATATATAGCAGCATCAAACATCAGTACCATAAAACTCAGTAAACTAATTATTGAGATTCACTCCTATAGAGGCAACAAAGCACATTTCATCCAAATGGTTGGCCTTGCCAAACATTGAAGGCAGATCATAGATCACAGGGTTGGACTCAACAAAATTGAACCTGAACCATAACAATCCACTAGTGAGTAAAGCAATCCAACAAAATATACCCTGAACCAAGGCCAGAGCAGCAGTATAGCAAATTTGACAGTAGCCCCACATACCCAGGCCAGTAGTAGAACAAATAGATAACAGAGGAAGATGAAACAGAATTTGAAGCAAAGTAGCAGCAATCTGTTATTTACCCTGTTGCTCTCATTTTTTTGCTCTTTCAGGTCAGTTTTATTTCTCTACATAATCTATATAAAAATAATATAGACCATTACAGAAGAATTCAAACAGGCCCAGTACCAACCATGGTATTGACCTAAACATTCTATTCAGGCACTAAAATAGCATCACCATAGAAAGTCTCTCAAATGTACCACACTTCCAACTCAAATTGATTGGAGCCTCCATTTGAATTCTTCCCTCATGGAAACTTTACAACACTCATAAAAATTTCTATTGAAGGCAACAAACATACACATTCTAATTTATCAAGGCTTCCAAATGACTTCCTACACATTTGGAAGCCTTAACAGACCATAAAAGATGTCCAACTTCAACTAATAAACAAATAATCACCAAAAATAACAATGAGAAGAACAAGATACTTATAATCCAGAATATAGATGCCCCTAAGCAGTCATTTATTCATTTTCATAGCAGTGTAAATCAATACTTAACAAAAAAAAGTGCACTGAACCATGGCATTGTTCAACAAAAACATGATATGTTTGCATATAACAATATATTCCAATAAAAACTAACTATTTAGTACTCCTTTGACTTTCAAGAATTTCCATTTGGCGGTGAAGGTAATATTCTTGTTGCATTGGAGACAAACCATTTGTATCCATCATTATAATTCTCTCATCTTCTTTCAATTGTTCTGCTCGAATCTTTTCTTGTTTATATGAAATCGCTCTTGGATTTCCTCTTTCATAATTTGAATTCTCTCTTGCTCAAGCTCTTGGTTAATACGATTTTGCTCTTGCTCTTGAAGACATGCTTTCTCAAGGATTTCCATTTTCTTGTCGTTTTCTTTCTTTTTCTCTTCCATATTCCCATTCAATATCCCTGCATAATTTGAACCAGCTGAATCTTTACTCTTTCGTTTATTCAATCGCTCTTTAGCCTTCCTGCCTAGTGGCCTCTCCAAGTCTACATAAGCATCATGAGAGACATCATCATCTGCTAGATTTAT